GCGCGACTACTCCCCGTCCCGAAACCCCCCGGAGGTGGAGGCGCGGTAGCCCCGGGGCCGCAGACGCCTCTCCGAGCGCACCGCTGTCCGTTTCTCCATCAGTTCTTAGAACTCAAGCACAGCTCCCGCCGATCCTGGGGCGGCGCCGCCTCTCCACCCGCAGCCTGCGGAGGCGGGGACTTGGGTGTCGGCTTTTCTGAGGGTGATCTTTTGTTTTCTGAGTTTGGGATTCGGCTGTTGGGAAAAAAAATCGCGTTTGTACCTTTTCCCCCCACAAATGAGAAGTGTTTGTAATGGATTTGTATTTTTCTTAATTTTATGCTATTTAGACGTTTAAAAGAACCAAAAAAGAAACTTTTGCTTCTTCGTTTTCGGTTGGGATTTGCAGTTTAATGGCCTCAGATCCTTCTCCAGATCCCCAGGGTTTCTTTGTCTTATTTATGGAGAAAAACCGGTCACTTTGTCCAGCGCACTGTGAGGCCCCCACTCAGGCCAGCCCTGGCCCCCCTTGGTACTTGGAACCGAAGTTACAGATCTATATTAAAATAATAATAATGTACAAAACTTTGTTTTTTGCCTTATTATGCAGAAGTGTAAGAGAATTTCTTTTTTGGTTTGTTTTTTAAAAAGCAAACGAAACGTGTAAATAGTCTGTTGATATAAGTATATGACGTTATTAAATTCTTAATCTAGATAGACTTTATAAATCGGTTTCCAGAAACCCCTCTGGTGGTTTGTCTAACACGGTCACAAAAACCCAGGCGCTGCCGGTTGTAAACATTCTCAGAAGTTTAATGGCAGCAACTTTCCTTCAACTATGCAAGCGCTCCCGCCGCTGGTGGGGGGAGGAAGGTTCCGCCAGCGACGTCCCAGCCCCTGGGTCCGTGGAGAGGTTGGGTACCCCCATCAGGGCCCCTGGGCCAGCAGAACAGCACTCCTGGGCGGCTCCTGTGGGCTTCAGGACTGGCCAGCTCCAGCCACAAGGGCGATTCTGTGGACGTTTGTGTGGATGGTGCAGTGTTCTTGGAATCTGTAGACCAGATCGGTGGAGGTTTAGAAGTGCAAGAGTCTAAAGGCTGAGTACAAAAAAAAAAAATCACTGTTGTGTGTTTTCTTTCGCGTGAGGCATCAGCGTCACCTTGGTGTGGTCGTTGCCTCCCGGGCCCTTGGCCTGGCCTCCTCTCGGTTTGGGTTTTGCTCTCACCCACATGAGCCCCCCATGCCCTGCCCTCCTTGAGGCCTTTTGTGTTCCCCTACGTCTGGGCTGTGTCCCTACCAGGCTTCCCAGCCTTCAGGGTCAGCCGTTGAGCCACATGCTTTGCTCAGTTCTGTGTTTCAGCCACGTTTCCACGGTGGACCCCGTTTGTTTGGAATATTCTGTTCCCATATCAATCAGTGATGATAAATACAGCCTTGATTTGGATGAAACTGTGGTCGTGTGTTCTGTGTGGCGTTGGGGGGCCGGGCTCACCCAGGCTGACCCCCTACAGGCGTGCGTCCCTCCTGCAGGCGCCTTGGGATGCTGGGCACCTCGGTGGCCCCACGCTGTCGGGTGCCATCACCCAGGAAGTTAAGCACAGCAGGTCCCAGCTTCCCAGCCCTGCTGCCACCCCAGCTCTGCCCAGCCCCCCATGGAAACCCCAGCCCCCGGCTCTGCCCAGCCCCCTCCCCCAGCGCCACCTCTCCCCATGGAAACCCCAGTTCTTGGCTCTGCCAGATGCCCCATTGTGTCGCTTCATTCTTGGGAATGTCACACGGCCCCCTGTCGTCCCACCCCCAGTGACCCCATGGCCGCCTTCCCTCACTCACATCCACAGGGTTTTGTGCATAGAAGATGCTCTTAGTTCCGCCTTCATGCCAGAGAGTTCTGGCCCTGCAGGGACTTGTGGGATTGACCTTGCCTTGGCTGTACCTGAATGAACAGGAGCTCAGAGGGCAGGAGCCAGGTGCAGAGGTGGCAGCCCCCACCCTCCTGTGCAGTGAGCACCAGGCCCACCTGCCTTGAGTGATGTTCAGGAAAGCTCCAGGTGCACACCTGGCCTTGACCTGAGCATCACCTCCACCCCGGCCCTGCCAATTAACTCCTCACTGAGGGGCCCCAGGGCTGCAACCTAAGAAGGAGGCCTCGTGGGCCCACTGTGCACCCAGTAAGGAGTGCCCTGTGTCCCATAAGACCCTTCCAGGGTGGCAGGAGGGGCAGCTCCCACTCCACACCCCACCGGGTTATTGTCTGGGGCCTGGACCATCTGCCATGTGGGGCTTCTATGAAATGTGTTGTGCAATTTTGCCACTGTGTGAATATCAGTGTGTGGTACATGCCTGGACGGGCCAGCCTGTTGCTTCTGGGCTGCACACCTGCACCCCATGTGACTCCTGAATCCTGTCGGCAGCTGTAACATGGTGGTAGGTGTTTGTGCATGAAAAGGTACAGTAAGAATGCAGCATTCTGGCCAGACGTGATGGCTCACACCTGGAATCCCAGCACTTCGGGAGGCTGAGGTGGGCAGATCACCTGAGGTCAGGAGTTTGAGACTAGCCTGACCAACATGGTGAAACCCCATCTCTACTAAAAATAAAAAGAATTAGCCAGGCGTGGTGGCATTCGCCTGTAATCCCAGCTACTCTGGAGGCTGAGGCAAGAGAATCACTTTAACCCAGGAGGCAGAGGTTGCAGTGAGCTGCGATCACACCACTGTACTTCCAGCCTGGGAGACAGAGCAAGACTCCATCTCAAAAAAAAAAAAAAAAAAGAATCCCGCATTCTAATCTTCTAGGGTTGCCCCTGCCTATGCAGCCTGCCTTTTCCCACAGCGCGGCTGGATGGCACGTGACTGTGCTTCACATCCCCTTGTCTTGGTTATTCCAACCTGTGCAGCAAATCTTCAGGAAGACTCCAGCGTTGCATATTCTGCCCTGAGTGAGCTGATTGTGTTAGTCATCCACACAGGCCTGCTCTGCCCCAAGTCCCCTGCAGGGCAGCCCAGCAGTGAGGAGGAGGCAAGGCCAAGGCCCAGTCCTGTGGCTCCAGGGATCTGGGAACGCACCTGTAAGGCACAGCTGGAGGGAGGGCGGCAGCTGGAGGGTGGACAGCAGTAGAGCTGGAGGGAGGACAGCAGTGCGGCTGCAGGGTGGACAGCAGTGCAGCTGGAGGGAGGACGACAGTGCACCTGAAGGGAGAGCTGCAATGTGGCTGGAGGGAGGGTGGCAGTGAGGCTAGAGGGTGGACGGCAGTGCGGCTGGAGGGCGGATGGCAGTGCGGCTGGAGGGAGGACGGCAGTGTGGCTGGAGGTAGGGCGGCAGTGGGACTGGAGGGAGGATGGCAGCTGGAGGGTGGGCGGCACTCCAGGGCCATCCCCTGGCCAGAACTACCTGCGAGCCTAGGGATGCCATGTGAAGGAGTGAAATGGTGAAATGTCTGCCTTTAAGTCAAAGCACACAGCCTGCTTTGAAATGCAGAGAAAGGGGGAGGGGACCTCATCCAGGCAGGGTCCCTCTGGGGCTGCCTTCCACTGTAGGGCCAGCCCTGGCACTGAGGCAGCCATCCCTCCCCAAGCATCATCTTTAAGGGGAGTGATCTCTGATGGTGCAGAATCCAGGGTGGACTTCTTCCCAGGAGCACTCAGTGAAATGGGAGCACCTTCCTGGGAATACTCTGTGAGGGAGCACGCTCCTGGGAGCATTCTGTGAGGGTGCACCTTCCTGGGAGCACTCTTTTAGAGGGAGCACACTCCTGAGAGCACTCTGATGAAAGCACTCTCCTGGGAGCATTCTGTGGGGGAGCACCCTCCTGGGAGCACTCGGTGAAGGAGCACTCTCCTGAGA